TGGCTCACGGGCCCAGCCTCTCCGCGGCATGTGGGATCTTCCCGGACCAGGGCACGAACCCGTGTCCCCGGCATCGGCAGGCGGACTCTCAACCACTGCGCCACCAGGGAAGCCCTCTTTTCCTTATTGATTTGTATGAATTCTTTATATATACTGAATACTAATCCTTTGTCAGTTTTTGTGTTACAAGTATCTTCTCCCAAGTGTTGCCTGTCTTTTCATTTACTCTATTATTCTTATTTGATGGAATCAAATTTACCTTTTGGTGCTTTACTTTTTTTTTCTGTATTATTTTGTGCTTATGAACTACAGAATGGTTATAAAAGTGTTCTCCTATATTTCCTTCTAAAAATTTTGTACTTTTGCCTGTGATGGTGAATTTTGAGTCAACTTGACTGGGCCAAGGTATGCTCAGATAGCTGATAAATCATTATTTCTGGGTGTGTCTGTAAGGGTGAGTCCAGACAAGATTAAGCATTTGAATTAGTAGACTGAACAAAGATCAGCTCTCACCAATGTGGGTGGTGTGAAATGTGAAATAAAATGGGGTCATTTATGTCAAGGGGTTTTTAAATGGAACCAGGAGGCCATTAAGGAGGTGGACTTTACCCACATCCTCCCTGAGCAGAACCTGAACTTTTTTTTTTTTTTTTTTTTTGCGGTACGTGGGTCTCTCACTGTTGTGGCCTCTCCCGTTGTTGCGGAGCAACAGGCTCCGGACGCGCAGGCTCAACGGCCGTGGCTCACGTGCCCAGCCGCTCCACTGCATGTGGGATCTTCCCGGACTGGGGCACGAACCCGCGTCCCCTGCATCGGCAGGCGGACTCTCAACCACTGCGCCACCAGGGAAGCCCAGAACCTGAACTTTTGAACTGGGTGAAACCACAAATATTCCAAGGACTCTGCAAAAACACTTGCAACTTGTCATAGCAACGGGTTGTTACCTCGCTCTAGTGATAGCCTTAGCAATCCTGTTCAACCAAGACTAGCCTCTGCACCCAGCTCCAATTAAAACTCTTTGCAATGCAAACCTTCCTTCTTTGCCTTTAAAAACCCATGACTTTAACTCCCTGGTAGGACACTGTTTAGGTCGCTATCCAAACCTGTGTGCCCTGCATTGCAGTTCTTTGATCCCAAATAACTGCTTTCTGCCTGAATATGGCCTCCTAGTTTTATTTAGGTTGACAGAGCATCATCCCATCTGCTGAAGGACTGAATAGAATAAAGAAGGTGGAGGAAGGACAATCTCTCTCCTTGAGCTGAGGGGTCCATGGTTTCCTGCTCTCAAATATCAGAGTTCCTGGTTCTCTGACCTTTAGACTCCAGGACTTACGCCAGCGCCCTACCCTCCATGTGGTCAGGCCTTCACTGGGACTTAGACCATTGGCTCCCTTGGTTCTCCGGCCTTCGGACTTGGACTGAATTACATTACGAGCTTTCTGTTCTGTGTTTGCAGATAGCACATGGTGGGATTTCTCAGCCTCCATAACCATGTGTACCATTTCCTTTAATAAATCTCCTCTTGCATCTATCTACCTATCTATCTATCTATCTATCTATCTATCTCTATCCTATTGGTTCTGTTTGTCTGGAGAGCTGCAACTTACATATTTCCTTTCACATTTAAGTCTGAAATCCTCCCCAAACTGACTTTTTCTGTACAGCGCAAAGTCCATATGATTATGCAGTTTTTTGAGTACAGTTTATTGGTTGAGGATCAGCAAACTATGGCCCACAGGTCAGATCCAGCCCTTTCCCTGTTTTCATACAGCCCAGTAGCTAAGACTGGGTTTTGCATTTTTAGATGGTTGAAAAAAATCAGAAGTTAATATTTCATGACCCATGAAAAGTACATGAAATTTAAATCTCAGTGTACATAGATAAAGTTATGTTTTTATTCTTTTACAAATACAGTTTTATTAGCTACACACCCACGTATTACAGTCCATAGACGTGAATTGACTATGGCGGCTTTCCTGCTACAACAGCAGAGTTGAGTAGTTGCATCGCTTTGAGGCCTACCAATCCTTACTCCCTGGCCCTTCACAAAAACTGTTTGCCAACCCTAAATAGTTCATCCTTCCCCACTGATCTGCAGTGTCACCTTTGTTGTAAATTAAGGTTTTGTATATTTGTGGGGTCTGTTTTAGAGGTTCTACTTCATTCCATTAGTCAGCCTAACTATCCCTGCACCAAAAATGCACTATTTTGATCACAATAATAATTTATAATAAATCAATATTTGATAGTGCAAGTCTCCCTGCCTGGTGTTTCTTCTTGGTAATGAAAAAGCTAACCTTGCCTCTTTACTTTTTCCAGGTCCATTTTAGAATCTGGTTGTAAATTTCAGGAAAGACCCTGTTGGAATTTGGTTTGGAATTGCACTGAATCTAGAGATGAATTTGGAAAGAAACTGACATATTTATGATATTGCGGTTTCCTAGCCATGCAAAGTCCTTCGATATTTTCTCCAGAGAGATCTCATTCGTGTGTTGCTTGAATATCTGGGAAAACTCTGTAAAACCATCCAGGAATGCCATTTCTTTGTGGGACAAAGTTTAAGTGCTGATTTAATTCCTTTAATGGTAATAGGACTACTTAGACTTTTTTTCTCATTCTTGGTTCAATTTTGATAACATGTTTTCCTTAGAATGTATTAATTCCATCCAAATTTTCCAATTTATTGTCATGAAGTTATTTATTGATTTCTTGGTTTTTGGTCTCCTTAGTATCTGTAGTTATATCCCCCTTTCTATTCCTAAAACATTAACTTGTGTATTCTCTTTTATATGCTTATTTTGATTCATTTCTTTTGGTTCATATCTTTTTACTTTCTTCCAATTTTTTTGTTCTTCTGTCTCTTTCTCTCTCTTTTTTTTTTTTTTTTTTTTTTGGTATAATTGACATAAAACATTATCTTAGTTTCAGAGGCACAACATAATGATTTGATATTTGCATATATTGCAGAACGATCACCACAACAAGTCTAGTTAACATCTGTCATCATACATAGTTACAAAACATTTTTTTCTTGTGATGAGCACTTTTGAGATCTATTCTCCTAGAAACTTTCAAATACGCAATACGGTATTACTAACTATACTCACCATGTGGTACATTACATCCCCAGGACTTATTTATCTTATAACTGGAAGCTGGTACTTTTTGACCCCCTCCACCCATTTCACCCACCCCCAACCCCCAGCTCTGGCAACCACCAATCTGTTCTCCGTATCTATAAGCATGATTTTTTTTGAAAGATTCCATATATAAGTAAGATCATACAGTATTTGTATTTCTCTGTCTGACTTATTTCGCTCAGCCTAATGTCTTTAAGATCCGTTCGTGTTGTCGCAAATGGCAAGATTTCATTCTTTCTTATGACTGAATAATATTCCGTTCTACATGTATACCACAATTTCCTTAGCCATTTACCCATTGATGGACACTTGGCTTGTTTCCATATCTTGGCTGTTGTAAATAATGCTGTGACAAACATGGGGGTGCACATATCTTTTCAAGTTATGTTTTCCTTTTCTTTGGATAAACATCCAGAAGGGGGATTGCTGGATCGTATGGTAATTCTATTCTTAACTTTTTGAGGAAACTTCATGCTGTTTTCCATAGTGGCTGCACCACTTTACATTCCCAGCAACAGTGGACAGGGCTTGTCTTTTCTCCACATCCTCACCAACACTGGTCATTTCTTGTCTTTTAGATAATAGCCATGAGGTGGTGTCTCATTGTAGGTTTGATTTGCATTTCCCTGATGATTATTCCTGTTGAGCATCTTTTCATGTCCCTATTGGCCAGCTGTATGACTATCTATCTTCTATCTATCTTCTTCAATTGGATGATTAACTCAGTAATTTGTACCTTTTTCTTTCTTAATGTAAGAATTCGTGCTACACATTTCTTTCTAGGTATCCCTTGACCAGAATGACCCAAGTATTGATCTCTAGTATTTTTGTTATCATCCAGTTCTAAATATTTTCTAGTTTCCATCATGTTTTCTTCTTTGACTCATAACTGATCTAACAATGTGTTCTAAAATTTCTAAAAGGATAGAGTTTTTCAAGCTATCATTTTCTTATTGATTTCTAACTTAATTTCATTATGGTTAGAAAAGATGATCTCTATGTTACCAGCCCCTTGAAATTTGTTGCGACTTGCATCAAGGCCAAGGACGTGGTCAGTTTTCATGAGCATTCCTTCGTGTGTGGTCAAAAAGAATCTATATTCGGGCTTCCCTGGTGGCGCAGTGGTTGAGAGTCTGCCTGCTGATGCAGGGGACACGGGTTTGTGCCCCGGTCCGGGAAGATCCCACGTGCCGCGGAGCGGCTGGGCCCATGAGCCATGGTCGCTGAGCCTGCGCGTCCAACGGGAGAGGCCACAACAGCGAGAGGCCCGCGTACCGCAAAAAAAAAAAAAAAAAAAAAAAATCTATATTCGACAATTGTACTACATGTGTTCATTAAATCAGCTCGTTGGTTTTTCAAAATTGCTGTATCTTTTGTGTCTCCTCGATTTATCAGTTCCAGAGAGAGGTGTTATTTAGATCTCCCACTATCATGGGGAATTTGTCATTTTCTCCTTGCAATAGACCAAAATTTTCAGTATCTATTTTAGGACTTTTATTAGGTGCAAACAATTTTAGAAGTATTATACCTTCCTAGTGAGTTGAAATTTTTTTCAGAAACTTTTTTGGAGCCTTTTTCAACACCAGCAACTAATTCTCTGATTTCCCAGATACCAACTGGGTGTTCAACAATTCAGTTCAGTTTTGACACTAACCCCTGGGAGCTGGCACAGGCCTCAGAGCTCAAGTGCTCAGTCCCCTAAGCCTGCCCTCCTTCACCTTTAGACACCTTTCACCATTCGCAAGACCCAGGCCACCTGTACTTCTGTCAATGGGCTAAAAATCAGGGGTTCCCACAACCCTTCCGAAGGTTCAATAATTTGCTAGAACAGCTCACAGAACTCAGGAAGAGGCACTTTAATTATGTTTACCCGTTTATTATAATGTACAGAACTCAGCAACAACCAAATGGAAGAGATGCATAGGGCAAGGTGTGTGGGCAAGGACCTTCCATGCCCTCTTCAGGCAGCCACTCTCCTGATACGTCCATATGTTCACCAGCAGGAAGCTCATCAAGTCTCCTTGATCAAGAGTTTTTATAGAGCTTAATCTTCAGCTTGCCCACCCCTCACCTCCCCTTCTTAGAGATCAGTAGCCTGAAAGTTCCAACCCTCTAATCACTTGGTCTTTCTGATGACCAGCCCCATCTTAAGGCTATCTTAGTGTCCCCACCCTAAGTCTCCTCATTAGGACAAACTCAGGTTGATCAAAAGGGGCTCCTTAGGAACAGGAGAAGACATGCCTATCACTCAGGAAATTCCAAGGGTTTTAGGAGCTCTGGCCAAGAACCAAGGATAAAGACCAAATGTATTTCTCATTATGACACACCTTTTATCTTTTTTCTGTCCAGTAATCATGTTTGGTTTAAAGCCTATATTGTCTGATATGATTATAGATATACCAGCTTGTAGTTAATTAGTATTAACTAATTAACCAGTTTTTAGTTAGTATTTGCCTAGCACATCTTCTTTTAATTAAAAAAAATTATTATATAATTTATTTTGAATTAATTCAAAATAATAATAAACTTTTGAAATAATTTCAAAAGTTTCAGTTTATTTAAATTTTCAAGTTCAAATTTCAGATACTTTTCAGATGCTTACTAGGTAAAAATTTTAATATACAAAAAGTACTAGAAAGACTAGTACAGTGGTTACCCATATACACAATACATAGATTAAAAACTTATTGTTTTGTCATATTTGCTATATCTGCATCTATTTTTTAATAAGGTCATGTGTTTTACATAAATCTCATACCATTTTCACACTTAATAAAATTCATAATTTCTTAATATTCTTAAACACCCAGTCCATATTCAAATTTTCCCTATTATCCCAAATTGCATTTATAGTTGTTTTTCACACTTAGTTGTTTTGTCTCCAACATGTTTTTCAGTCTAGGACAGTTTATACACACCGCCAATTTTTCTCCTTGATAACAATGTTTTAAAGACATCAGATGAGTTACCATGCACAATGTCCATCTTTTTAACTTCAGTCTTTGTGTCCTTATATTTCAATTGGATCTGCTGTAGACAGTATTCCCTGGATTAGTTGTCTAATCCAGCATAATGTTTGTCTTATACTTGGCAAATTTAGTCCATATATACTTATGGTCATTACCAATATATTTGGAATTAGTTCTTCCGTCTTCTCTGGTCATTTCTACACACCCCACTTTCTGTATGTAATGTTTATTTTGTAATTGAACTGGGTGTTTTAGTTTTGCTTTCTTGTGTTTATTCTACTTCATTCCTTTTTACTCGATAATTAGTTTGGAGGTTTATGCTCCACGCCTCTGCATCACCTTACGCCATGCGACAGAGGGGGGCTTCAAGAAACCCACCCTTTAATTTGGGCCCGTGTCCCTTGGGTTTGGGGAGCTTGAGAACTGGCACGACATGTGACATCAACAGAACTGAAACAAAAAGGAAGAAAACTACACTGGGAGACACTACTCTTACATCAATGCTGGGTCATGAATGGGCACAAGCTTATCCTGGACCAGATGTGGGCCAAGCAGGAGGGAGCTGGCCAGGAGCCATTTGTAAGTCCTGTCCAGGATTCCAAAAGATTGATGGTCCCCAGACAACCAGGGCTGACGAAGGAAACATTCGCAAGCAGACAGAGGAGAAGACTTGCCCTGTGGAGGGAAGGACAGTCGGCCCCAGCAGGGTACTTCTGAGGAACCCACAAAAGCCCCTTTCAGGAAGATGGTCACTTTGAACACCTGCCAAGCCCAGCGAACAACAGCAGGAGACCTCAAAGGACCAACCATGAAGGGTCGTCCCTTCGCCCCCAGACCCTCCCGCGAGGGCTCAGCTGCACCTACATCAGGCACGGGATGAGCCACACCCCCACCCCGAAAACCCTGAGGCAACTTTGTACCACGTGACCTGGCCCCACTGGGCAGAGCTGATTGGCCTAGTGGGGCCACCTGACCCAATGGCAGCCAATCAATCTGTAGGCTAAGCGTGGTGAGCTGAGCCAATCAGATTCTCTCTCAGGAGCTTGCGTTGGGAGCACCTCGCAGGCCACAGGCAGGGATGAAACTGAGCAGATGTGGGGAGAGAAGCCTTAGGAGCGGGTGTGGGATCAGAGACTGGGCGGTGGGGGGAGGGGTGTCGTGACAGCCCAAGTGGAGAGGACGTAGGAGTGCTGCGGGGTGGAAGTGATAAGGCTGAGAAAAGCTGTGGAGATCAGAGGGAGATAAAGGAGATTTTAACAAGATTGGCAAGAGCATACAGTCTTTCCTTATGGCTGAGGTTTGAACCCCACGGACATAGACTCCAGCTACTAAGTCCTGGAAGCCAGCCTGGGTCTAGCTCCAGGCCAAAGGTCCTGGGTGTGCAGTGGTTCCTGTTCTTGAATATCAGTCCGGTTTGTCTGTCTCCCTTGCTGCCCACCTGTATCCTCACCACTAGAAGCCCCCATTACTTGAGATAACCGGAGCCGGACTTTGTTTCCTGCACGTAAAGAATGCAGCCCACAAATAGAAAGTGAAAGAAAATCACCGAAGAGGCAGAGAACAACATGGCATCATCAGGAACAGAGCGTAGCTGCACCCTCAACAGACCACGCCAGGCAGTTCTTGCTGCACTTCCCCCAATAAAATCCTCCTTCATTGGACTTTATTTTATTCTGTGAAAATAAGCCTTATTGTAAAACAGAATAAATCCACAAACCAAACCTCAAACCCTCTAGCAAAGAAGGCCCCCTTAATGCATAAATTCACTGCTGACAAGAGAGTCCCTTCAAGTCATTGCTTTTGTTTCTTGTTTCTTGAGAACATGATTCCAATGAGGCCTATGGCTGCCAGGCCCGCTCCTGCGATGCCAGCTACCATGATGGCATCTCTGACCTGGAAGAGAGAGGAGGGTGGATCAGATTCTGTGCCAGGAATCTGAGTACACGCTGTACATTCAACAAGAACATCCAGCTCAGGGAGCCTCCCATGCCCCTTGGTCTTCTTGACAAACTCCGGAGTCATCTAACATTGGCAGGGAAATGGGGAGAAGAGGGCAGGATGGGGAAGGAGTGGTGGGTGGGGCCAGCTGGCCAATGACATACACAGGTCTGAAGCGGGAAACTCACTTCACCCTGTGAGTACTTAAAGCACACATCCCCAGAGGGTGGCTGTGAAAAGGACAGGGAGATGAAGCCAGACGGTTGACATCCTGGCTGGCCAACAGGGAGCTCTCGAAGTAAGTGTGAAGTTGAAGAGTCATTGCTATTGAATCCTCAATAAACCGTGACCTCCGGCAGAGCAAAACCCTCACTTGCCGTCATCTTCGCCTTATCCCCAGCACCCGGTCCTGCCAGGCGCAGATGTGCTCTTTGCATGTTCCTGAGTGACTCAATGTAGTAGTAATGTTATACTTTACATTATTAAGATATCTGACTTGTATTGTTTGTACTAGAAAAAAAAAAAACGTTGCAAAAGTAAGAGTAAGTTTCAGGGTAAAAATTGGACATGTATCAAATTTCACTCTTTCCAAAATCCAACTAAAAGTAAAATAAGGCATTTGTTTTAGGCATCATTCCACCAGGACCCAGAGAACACTAAATGCAGTGAAGGCAAAACGCCCGAAATCATGAAAACTGTACTTTTTCCCACTAACGGTATCATGAACACGGATCAAGAAATCTCACCCTAAAACCAAGCCAAGCACTTAAGCAGAACCAAGAACTGCAAAGGAAAAGGTTATAATGATTTTACGCCAAGAAGTCCAATGAGACAGTGTACTAGACTCCCAGTAATAAAAAGGATGAAAACGCGGACTTGGTACCCCAGACCCACATCCTTACATGACGCCGCCAACTCTGCCCTTGGTACCCTGAGCACAGAGCTTGCCTAGGTTGTGTATGTTGTGGCCAAAAAATTCCCACATGCCCACCATAGAGAAGACTTTGAAAAACTTCAATGCTTAAAAAGAATATACGTTGCCACTGCCCAGGCTTATCTGAGCCATACACATGTCCAGCATAGCTGTGTGAAATGCCAGGAAATACACCAGTGTAACTAACATCACAAGGTACCCAGAACACATGTCAACAAAAGTTTGCATGAAGCTACTGACCTAAGGTTTGACTGCCGCTCAGTCTTTAGACCTTCCTGTTAAATTAAAGGTAATTAGGCTTGGCTTTGTGGCAACCGCGGTCCTGCTGGGTTCTTGCTAGGGAGCCTGCATAAAACCACTTGTATCCAGTGTTTTCCTTGCTAAGCTATGTGTCAAGGTGGGAGAAATGGTTTGCAGATAATGGAGTAGGAACCATAAGCCCCCAGTTCTTTACAGAACCTCACAGTGTGAGGAGAAATGCTGATGGAGCCGGTTCATACAAAAGGTACTTTGTCAAGGAAAACAACAATAGCCTCATTGTTTGTGCTCATGCTTTGTACAGAGTCAAACTGTGTAATTAAATACAAGAAAATAGTATTTAGTTAGCCCTGAGAGTGCAGATTTTACGGAAAGAATGATCTTCCCAGGAGAGACAGAGCTACCTGCAGATGCCATTGATGATTTTCTTGTTGTAAGGCTGCTGGGTCCAGCCCAGCCACTGTGCTGAAATTACAACAGTTCTGATCATGAAAATGGGCTACATGGTGTGCACCAGAGGTCTTCAATCAGAATATTATGAAAGAGAAAAGTTGCCCCTCATTATCTTTTCTTGAAAGTGGACAAACAGTAGTCCTATCAGACTGCAGACAATTAGCTGCTTATGCTACACGTCTACTATGAGTTAAGCCCCGGAATTGTTTCTGGGAAAAAGGCAATTCTAATGTGCTTTTCTTCACTTTCAGCAATGTTCTAAGTGGACATAAGAAGAGTAATATTATTCAGAAAGCAATTGAATTCAGACTATGAGAGGTTATAAAATAACAATGGTTATAAAATACGTGTACAGAAAGTTGGTTTTAATATTTACAGTAGTTTTTAAATAATACCCTGTAATTTATCCAGGTTTATGTAATTACACAATACCATTGGCCACATCTTCAATTTCTATTTATCTTAAAATTTTATCTGACACAGAGTAGACTTCAGCATGAGTGTAGCTCCTAGTTGCTTTTTGCTAGAGTACTATTCAGTACAAAAGCTTACTAAGAATACATTTTTTGAAGCCTGAGTATTTTTAAATAGGTAGGTGGAAAATAGAACCATCTTGATTAGAATACTCTTAGGCATGGAAAGCACAAACAACATTTTGGTTTAAAACCATTGTTTCCCTTTCTAAATGGAAACTTAGATGAGTCACATATAGTCCGTTGAAGGAAAATCTAGTCTGCTTCAAAGAGCTGAACACAAATAAACATGATGACTAATAAGATCCTTTTCACACAGAAAATTATCGTCATGAGTTAAGAGAAAAAGAGAGCTGCTGCTTTGATGGCTCTTACAAACAAAAGTACTGCTGGACGTTGTCCAGCACCCACTAAATCCACCCTCTCTAGTGAGATGGGAGAAGTGCAGAAGCTACATTTTAATTCGGTCACACCGTGTATTATGATCATTACTCACCTCGGCCAGTACTTCCCAAGGCGGGTACAGGCTTGCCCTCTGGGGGAAGTTTGGCAATATCTACAGACATTTTGGTTCTTACACCTGGGGGTGGAGGGTGCTACTGGCATCTAGTTGGTAGAGGCCGTGGATGCTACTAAATGTCCTGCAATACACAGGGCAAGTCCTAACAATGCAGACTTATCTTCATTGTTAATGACCCCAAATGTCAATAGTGCTGAGGCTGCGAAACCCTCATCTAGGCCAAGAAATGAAAGAGGAAGTCTTTGGAAACAGTATACACGGCCCCTCTTTTTGTTTTGTAGTATGTTCTGGTTTCATGTTCTGTGAGGGGGTCCGGTAGGATTGTTGATGCTGCTTTATCATTGCTGTGTTGTCACGGTTTTGCCTCTTTCGGGCGGCTGGCTAGCGCACTGGGCTAATGCCTCAGGAAGAGAATGGGATGTGTCCAATTTGTATTGTTTCATTTTGCAAGAAGGTGCTTGTAGAAAGAGCAAATGATAAAAAATATTTCTTGGTTCTTTCAGTATCTCAAGATTTGGAATTGTATTTAAATGCTCAAAATATTATTTGTGCGTACTGACATATGTATTTTACTAAATTATGTAACAATTTTGTGAAGAAGTGTTCTACTTATATTAAATTGTGACTCTCTTCTTTAGTCTATTAATAATCACTAAAGGATAACTAAAAATGAGATGATTTGGAGATATTTTATAAATCTACCAAATCTTCTTAAAATAGCACCCTGGATTTGGTATCTTAAACTTCCCAAATTTGTATAGTAATCTCTGTTTGGAGTTTATTGCTGCATAGGAGGGTGGACATCTACCTGAAGCAGAAGCCAGGTGTAATCAACACCTCAATTGTTATGCAGGATCACCCATGAAGTCAGATTTATTTAGCATATGTTTCTCTTTTTTATGCTGATATCATCACTGCTACTTTTTTAAAAACTTCTACCTTACCCAGATCTACCAATAAGTGTTAGTTTTCTCATTGAAAAAGATAAATAATTGGAAAACAGGGGAGAGAAGAAAAGAAAATCAGAGGAGCAGTCTAGGGGCACAACCTCCGAATAATCAGTGTTCCCGAATGAGAGAAGAGAAAATGGAAAATTTCCCAGAATTGAAGGAATGGGGTTTCCACATTGAAAAATGTCATAAAGTGCCCAGCATAATTCATGAAAACAGATCCACACAAGGTTTATCATAGTGAAATCTCAGAACACTGAAGATAAAGAGAAGATTCTATAAGCTTCCAGAAAGATAAAATTGGTCACATACAAAGGATCGAAAATCAGAACCGATTCAGACTTCTCGTAAACAATAGCATAAACTAGATGACAATGGAGCAATACCTTCACATTTTTTAAAAAATTCTTTTCAGCCTAGAATTCCATACCCAGCCAAACTATCAATCAAATACGAGGATAAAATGAAGACGTTTTCAGGCATAAACAGTCTTTTTAAAATGCATCCTTTCTCAGAATCTATTAGAGGTGGTATTCCACCAAAACAAGAGAGTAATCCAAGAAAGAGAAAGATGTGAGTTGCAGAGGATAAAAGCATTAATACAGGAGAGAACTGAAGGGCATCTCTAAAGGATGCTAGTAAAGAGAGATACCAGGATGACGGTGTGCATCAAATGTGACTCAAAACAAATGTTTTGAAGGCCATTATCCCCCCTAGATAGATATGCTGAGTGCCATCATCCCCCAGATTCCTTCTGGTTGCCTCACATTTGTAATCTGAGTCATGAGGTTCCTCTCATGGACCCGCCCACTGACTTTCCCAGAAGGAGCCTCTTATAAACTGTCAGGGAAATTGAAACTAGACTGTGACCCAGAGGTTCTGGGACTCTTCACCAAACACTGGCAGTATTGCCCTGTCCTTCCCTAGCTAGGTGTGTACTTGCTACTAGTCAATTTTTGTATTAATCATCTTTCACATTCATATATATATATATATATGTAATATATGTATATGTAAATATATGTATCACATATACATGTACTTATATACATTTTTATATATTTACATACATATTTATTGAATAATAATAACATGAGTGATTGAAGAAAACAAATAAGAGAATACCCATTGGAAGATATCTACTGTATCATCACAGAGCATAGGATGAACTAACCAACATGCAGGTCAGTGTAATAAGTAAACACAGCTGATTATCAGCGGTATGAGGAAGGCTGAGCGTGATCCTTGTAGGCGGTGTTGGTGGATGCCTCCCCAGCAAGTCACTGTGGCCCAGACAGGCCAGTGGACAAGACAGTGGGTGAACCAAGAAAAAGAATGAAGATGAGGACCATTATGACTACTTCAACTATTACAATGTATTAAGTGTACTTTCTGAGTTGCCACTCTGCTAGCATAAGGATGCTCTTATTTAATTCACACAGTAACCCTCCTAGATCAGTATTATCACTTGTACTTCACCAGGGTTTAGAGAACATGAATCGATCTGTCTGCCAGGCCATGCCCTTGACAACCACAACGACCAAGGAAGAAGACACCAGATCTCAAAAAATTAAAAAGTACTGAAAATCAACAACCTGATGGATCTTAAACTCATCCTTTACTGAAAGAAAAAAAAAATCGTACTCTTTTGCATCAACAGGCATCCAAGAACTTTTCCAAACAATGTTCTCACACACACACACACAAATGAGGGGGCTGCAGGGAAGGGCCAGAAAAGGAGAGGAGAAAGTGAGAGAAAATGGGAAGGAAGTTAGTTACCCAGGTGAAAAAGCAATTCAAAGAAGAGAGTGGCCATGGCCAAAATCAACTAAGTAAATAAAACACACCTGCATCACCTGGAGCCTCTGGGACTGCCCCTTGGCTTAAGGCAGGGCTAAGCACAGGGCTTTTTATAAGTCGTGGCAGACCTGGGCTTCAGCTCCCACCTCTGCTACTTATCAGCACAGTTGGAGACAACTCTCAGGAAAAGAGACAACACAGATTTGTTTGATGAAATGAATGTCCATCAACAAGTGCTGTGAGCCTCAGTTTCCACATCTGTAAAGCGGGATAGTAAAACCTGCCTCTGAGGTTGTGGGAAGGGCCCATCTCAGGGCCAGGCAGCCAGGGAGGGCCGGGCACCGGGCTGACAGTGACAGCTGTGCTCACACCCTCGGCCATCGTCCCCCGACCACACTGGTCCGCGGTGCCCATCTCCCCACCCTCCTCCCCACCCCAATGGTGACATCCTTGAGGGCAGGCTTCTGCCTCTGCTATTCTGTCGTGTTTGTGCCCCTGCCTCCAGCCCAGCCCAGCCCACACTGATGCCCAGGTCAGCGGAGGAAATGGTCTGGTTCCCGGGGATGGGGACACACTGAGGACGCACCTGGTCACTGCGGGGGATCCCGTAGCGCAGCTCGTTGACAAAGTGCTCGCAGTTCTCGCTGGTCAGCTTGTAGAGAACTTCCTGGCCCACCAGCTCCTCTGCCTGCTGGACAATCTTGTTGGGAGGCAACGGCGAGTACTTGTCATCGTGCTTATTGTTGACCTGGTACCGGTCTCTCCCGGCCACGTCGCACAGCCGATCCTTCCTCACTATGGCCTTGTCGGTCAGCGCAGACATGAGACTGGCCATCCCAGCTCCTGCGATTTCACCTATGGATTCAGGATGAGAAACAGCGGGATCGGTCCTGAGCCGGCCCCCAGGGGCTCAGAGCAGCCCCAAGCCTGGCATCCACCACATCCACAAGGGGATGAGCAGGTGTGAAAGGGCCACAGCTGTGTGGCTATGAATAAGGCACTTATGGTCTCTAGGCCTTGGTTTCCTTATCTGAAATGAGGAGGAGTAAAGTTCCATGATTTGTTGTGATTATTTTTAACCTAGAGAAGCTGGCCTCGTACACCCTCTTGTTTGTGCAAATATGGGCCCTGAGCACACCCACCTCCTTGGAGGAATAGAGTGTGAACTTTTTGTGATGCTAAAAATGCTACACTTCCTTGACACATACAAAGCTGATTACTGCAGAAAAGGTAGATGGATTTGCAGAAGTGGATCCTATCCTTCTTGGAGCAAAGGGACCAAAACCCCACAGCTGCTCCCAGAGGTGTGACACCAGGGAGGTCCATGGGGAGGGGCTGGAAGAGGCAACAAATTTCCAGAAATGAAACTGCCTTGAAGCAAGGGATTTGGGCTCAGCAGAAGGACCAGGATAGTTGGGAGGGAAAGCTGATGCCAGCACAGAGATTGGGCATACCTCCTGAGGCAGCCAGCCTACACCGTGTGGGGAGGGGCAAGCTTTTGGTATGACGGCTGAAGAGGTGTGCTTGCACGACAGAGGTGGACCCCAGGGAACATCACAGAGGAGGCTCACTGTCCCTCAAGGAGCCTCTGTGGCCCTGCCGCGATCGGGAACCCCCAAGGCTCTTCTCAGCAGGGGAAGCATCCTCTTACACTGGGCAGGACCCATCTTCCACTGTAACACCATGTGACAGCAACAAGCCATGGCAAGAGGGTCTGATCAGAGTCCAGGTCCTGTTCTGCTAGGCTTTCCAAAGAGGACTAAACCCCTCTGCCCTGAGTATAATCCTGAGATTTTAGAAAATCAGAAGAATTCAGACTTGCTACTAACAAGGCACAAGGTGCTTGAGGATTCAGTGAAGTAAGTAAAAGATGGTGCTGTGTTTGAGCCCCAAATTTATGGAAAGGCTCGGTGTGGTGATTGGATCAGGGGAGCTCCTGAGACCCACCCACCTTCAGCCCCTAGGCGTGGGTGGCAGGGCTGGGACTGGGGCGAGGCAAGCAAGGTGCCTGGAGCACAGAATTTCAGGAGGTACCAACTCTCAGGGACGCAAGTTCAGAGTCAACACCTAAGAGTGAGGGCTTCCTTACACTTCACACCCTGGGTGTCACCCTGGTGAGTGAGAGCACAGGCTGACGGTCAGAAGCTCTGGGATCTGATTCTGGCTCCATCACTGAATGGTCTTGACATGTCGCTTAACTTTGCTGAGCCAACACTGGGAATCCACAAATACCAGCTAAGATGGATTCACAAACACACATCCGTATAGGAATTTAAAGTTTCTTTTAAAAGAATTATTTTACTTTTTAAAGTTAGTCTATTAAAGAAAATACCAATTAAATAATTGGAGAGAGGGCACAAGGATATGGCAAGCAATCAGTGACTAAATTTTGGGAAACCTCAGACTTGACAGTATAGCAGCATGTGTAAGGGCAGGGAATAGAGAGTCAGACAGCCAGGGTTTGAGTCCCACCTCCACGACTTTCCTGCTATGTGACCTTGGACAAGTGGCTTAATTTCTCTAAGTCCCCAATTCCTTGTAGAATAGGGTCAGTAAGTTCTACCTGTGCCTACAGTACTGGACGGGGAGCTGCAAGGATTAAAGAAACTGACTAGGTAAGGTGCCTCCACCAGTGCCTGGCACAGGGTGAGTGCCTCATCAGTACTGGGTTGTTCTCTAAGCTTCCTTCCAACTCTAATTTCCACCGTTTTCTCAGTAGCAGGAGGTCAGTCCTCCTTGCCTCACCTATTCCACGGGGTTCCTGTGAAGCTCGAGTGAGAAGATGCAGATAGAAGCATATTTCCCTTTGAGGAGCACCACTCACCCAATGAAGGGTGTCACACCTACCCACCCAGATCCCCTGTCGTGCCATCCCCTGCTTCCTGTCCAGCAGTTACACCCACTCAGCGCAGTCAAGCAATACTGGTGCTGGTCCAAGGTGCTGAACACAGACACGAACTAGACAGCGCACCTGCCCTCAGCGAGTTTACACTCTAGTGAAAGGACACTGACAAGGAACAAACAGAAAAAATAACACACTTTCAGGTACTGAAAATGCTATGGAGAAGATTAAGCGAAGTCACATAGGAGAGGATGACCAGGGGAGGCTGCTCTCACTCGGGGTGCGGGGGGGCCACGCCCAGAAACAGGCATTTGAATTGAGACTTGAACGATGAAGAGGAGGCAGCTGTGCTGAGAGCCAGGAAAGAGCATCACAAGCAGAAGGAAGAGCAAAGGCAAGGACCTCGGGAAGAAAGGCACGTGGCGTGCTTGAGGCTGCAAGGAGGCCAATGTGGCTGAAGTCTAGAGACCCAGGAGGAGAGAAGAGGAAGCTTCAAGAAGGTCAGAGAGGCAGGCAGAGGCCAGACCACGCCAGGCTCACAAGCCACAGCACAGATCTGAAACTTATTCTACGTGTGATGGAAAAGCCAGTCGAAATTAAAAGAAGGCGAGTGACATAATCAGATGTATACTTTGGAATGATCACACTGGCTGCCCAGTGAAGGAAGGACTGACTGTAAGTGGACAAGAGGCAGAGAGACCAACCAGAAGCTGCAGTAGCAACAGGTGAGAGAGGATGGTAGCTTACCCCAGGGCACAGCAGTGGACATGCTGAGAAGTGATCAGATCGGGGGTCTGTTTTGGAGATAAAGCCAACAGGATTTCCTGATGGATCAGACGTGGGGTGAAAAGGATCAAGGATGATGCCTGGACTTTTGGTCTAAGCAACCGGATGGCATTGTCCGCTGGAGCCCTCCATTTGGGGTGTGTCAAGTTCAACATGCCAATTAGATGCCCAACTGAAGATGCCAAGTCGTCAAGAGGTTACACACACCTGAAGCTAAGCAGGGTTAAAATCAAGTTAAGGGAGACATCGACAAATAGAAGGTGTTAGAAGCCAGTGGACCGGATGAGGGAGAAGCAAGGATTAGGGGTATGGGAGAGGAGGAGCCCCCTAGACACAGGAGGCCAAGAAGGAAGGGCCCCGGGCTTCCCTGGTGGCACAGTGGTCGAGAGTCCGCCGGCCGATGCAGGGGATGCAGGTTCGTGCCCCGGTCCGGGAAGATCCCACATGCCGCGGAGCGGCTGGGCCCGTGAGCCATGGCCACTGAGCCTGCGCGTCCGGAGCCTGTGCTCCGCAACGGGAGAGGCCACAACAGTGAGAGGCCCGCGTACTGCAAAAAAAAAAAAAGAAGAAGAAGAAGGAAGGGCCCAGTGGGAAAGGAAGGCAGCGCCAGGTGAAGAGCAGAGAGAGGCCACTCGTGTTAAATGCTGCAGAGAAGCCAAGTAAGCCGTGACCAGGATATTGATTGTATTGATGTAGCCTTGATAAGAGCTGCTCCAGGAGGGGAGTAAATACTCCCTGGTGGAGGGAACAGAAGAGAGGATGGGAAGTAAGGAACCAGCAGGGGCCGTGGCAGACAAGAGAGCTGCTCCATGGGAAGTTAGCTAGAGAGGACGTGAGGTCGAAGGGGTGTTTGTTTGTTTTATCAGTGGGAGATATTCCAGTGGTTTCTAGGGCAATAGGAATAATACAGAATTATTATTAATTTGAGGGTACAGTGCTTGTGAAAGTAAGAGAAGGGGGTCCAGGGCCCACACCTAAAGGCTGGCTTTTAAAATAAGGGCAGGGGCACATATATACTAATGGAATATTACTCAGTCATAAATAGAAATGAAATTGAGCTATTTGTAGTGAGGTGGATAGACCTAGAGTCTGTCATACCGAATGAAGTAAGTCAGAAAGAGAAAGACAAATACCATATGCTAACACATATATATGGAATTTAAGAAAAAAAAATTTCATGAAGAACCTAGGGGTAAGACAGGAATAAAGACACAGACCCGCAAGAGGGAAGAGATATGGGAACATATGTATATGTATAACTGATTCACTTTGTTATAAAGCAGAAACTAACACACCATTGTAAAGCAATTATACTCCAATAATGATGTAAAAAATAAAATAAAATAAAATAAGGGCAGGGGCACATTTGCACTGTAACAGAAGAAAAGGCAGATTATGTGGTTCTAGATGTTGGTGGTTTGGTTGATCAGGGGTGGGGATGGTGACATCTACCCTGGTTACTCCTAGATTTCTCTATAAATACAGGGTGAGGTCATTCATTTTGCTACCATTCTTGGTCAGCAAAAGACACATCCAAGAATGTCCACAGCAGCTGCACACAGAGCAGCCCACTAATGGAAGCATCCAATGCCCATCAGCGGAAGAATACATAACAGACTGGGCAATGTCCATACAACCGAGGACACGCAGCAATGGAAAAGTAAGAACAACACAGATGACCTCACAGGCCCAGGGAAAGAGCCGGACACAAAAGAGCACAAGCTGTGTGATTCCTTTGCTCTGAAGTTCTACAACAAGCACAGCTAACCTACAGCAGGAGAACCTAGAAGAGTGGTTGCCTCTAGGGAGGGAGAGAGCATACTGAAGAGGCATGAGGGAGTCTTTTCGGGGAGTGGAAATGTTCTAGATCTTGATCCGGTCATTGTCACACGGATGGATACATTTTTTTTAATTCACTGACTATACACCTGACAATATTGCGCCCTTTACTGTATTTTGGTTATACCTCAGTTTAAGTAAAAAGTTTGAGAAAACGGGTGGGGAATTCTCCCAATAATCCTGCACATTAAGGATTCTTAACGTCAGTTTACAAATGAGGAAACCAAGGCCGGAGAGTGAAAATGGACTCACAGACAAGTCTGCTGCCCAAACACCTGTGCTCTTCCCAGGAGATTTGCACTTCAGGACCGAATGTGTTTTATACGAAGTCATAATACACAAAATACATGAAAAGCAGAACTGCCCCCTTGGAAGCCCACCCCAGTCTCTCTGCATGGCCCTGGTGCTCCAAGGTGCAGAGTCTGAAAACCACTGCCCCACACCGAGCTGTCTTCCTGTAGCACCCAGGAACCAACCGTCAGTTGGGGGCGAAAGAAGAATGTTGGGGTCCCCTGTGAGCCACAGCTCCCCCACCTCCCTCTGCTCCCAGCCCCAGCACAGTGAAGCGCTGGGCACCCTTACTTGGTGGGGCCAGGTGGATCACATATCCATTACCAACGTAGATGGCCCAGTGTCTGTAGAAAGGGCGGAAAATCTCGATCAGGTCTCCAGGCTGGGGCTCTGGCTGCAAAACCAAGAAGAGTGCTGTTTCAGGTGACACGAGAGCTTGGAACCAGGGGCAGGGCTCAGCTAGGAGGGTGCAGCTCCGCGGCCTCCAGCTAACAGCCCTCCAGGGCGTCCTCCTGAGCCCTGCCCGGCCAATCCAATGCCAGTCTGACTTCACAAGCCTGTGTCCCAGACCTGCAGGGACTACGGGCCTGCCCACCTGTCATTACAACCTGCCGAGTGCACCGCCTAAAGGGTTTCTTCACTAGCCGGGGTTTCTGCCTTATTGTTCCTCTTTCTAGGAGTATTATTTATTGAACTCTTACTCAGAGCCAAGCGCTCTGCTAAGTGTTTTACAGGCGTAGCTCAATAAATTCACACAACCCTCCTATGAGGTGGGCACTGCTGTGAACCCCGTGTTATGAATGAGGAAATCAAGGCTCAGAGATGCAGAGGAGTGTTCTCAAAGCCACACAGCCCGAGTGACGTGGCCAGGACTCAACACTAGGCCGCCTGATTCCCAGGCCCAGTGACTTGACCACCACACTGACCGTCAGGCAACACCACAGGTTATTTGATTAGAGCTGTGCATCTGGAGACTCTTCCAGGGGGGTCAAATTGGGGGGTGTCACACAGACACTCCGCGACCTGGCCCGGGGCCTGGCAGAGAACTGGTGTCAACCTCTGGCAGCAATGTCCCCCTGGCTGCTCATCCCAAGGATAAGAGGGTGTATGTGTGTGTGTCAGTGTGTGTGCGTGTTGGGGTGTGTGTGTGTGTGTGTGTATGACAAGCAAAGGAAAACTCTCCTCTGCACTGTGCTCACACCGGTCCTTCTGACACTGGATGTGTGGGTTTTCCACACTAAGCGATTCAATCCTCGATGCACTGACTGGGCACCCACAGTTTACCTCAGTTCTGACACTAACGGCCCGGAGTTCGCACAGACCCACAGGCTTAGTCCCAGAAGACTGAGGCCCCACACACTTTAGACGCCAACTGCAAGCTGCAGGTTGTTGCTGTGCTGTGAACAACCGGCTGTGAACTGAGGGCTCCCACAGCCCCCTCCTTGGGTTCAGGACTTTGCTGGAACAGTTCATAGAACTCAAGAAAACAGCTGACTTGCTAGATTTCCAGTTACTAGAAAATATACAACACAGGAAGAGCCAGAGATGCAGAGGGCAAGCTGTGGTGGGAGGGGCACGGAGCTTCCATTACCCCTCTGGGGACCAGCGCTCTCCAGCACCCCCGTGCTTTCACCAACAGCCTGGGTTAGGGGTTTTATGGAGGCTTCGTTATGTAGGCACGATGGATTAAATCATTGGCCATTGGTGATTAATGCAACCTCCAGCCCTCTGATCACCTGGTCGGTTGAAAGGGGCTCATTATGAATGACGAAAGACATTCCTCTCACCTCTACTGCTCAGGAAATTACTTGGATTTTAGGAGCTCTGTGGCAGGAACCCGGGGCCAAGACTAAATATCCATTTCTCATTATATCACAGTGAGAGTGCGTGGGAGTGAGGGTGTGTGCGTGTGTGCAGGGGAAGGTGGGAAGGATGCTGAAATGCTCCTCAGAGCCCCGCCCTGTTAGGGGAGCACAGCAGCCCAGAGCCTGAGAAAACCTGGGGAGGTTCAAGAACACTTTCATTCAACCTATTGAGGTCCCAATGCCAGACACTGGGCTAAGTACTGCGGGTGGGGACACTCCGACCTGGGCCAGGATCAGGGCTGATGAGCTTCCGTGGTCCAAACCAACCTTAAATCTCTTTAGAACACCTGGAGACAGAGCCCATCGGTGGTCGTTCCAGCCCTCTGTCCTTTCCCGCTCACCTGCTTGCTCTTAGGGGACAGACCCATAGGAGTTTGCCCACGTCCCATCGCCAAACTCTGTGGGCCTGACTGAGAGATTCCATCAAAGATGAGGGGGGAGCATGGACTCCCCCCTCGTATGGCCTCCCCTGGGATAAAAATGATGGGCAGTGGAAGAGCCAATCACAACTCTATAATGGCTAGGAAGTAGGGTCAATGACAGTTCATTTCTACTTATAGAAACAATAAAACTGCAAACAAACATCCCACGTGGTAGGAAAAAAATCTTTTCACAGGAATTTTACAGATAAATCATATTGTCTTATTGCAGTGATTATAATTTATCTTCCCAGAAGAAGGCGCCCAGACCTTACTGGGAAGCTTTCAGAACACTGGACAATGGTCACAATTGATGAATCCCATTTGTTTTCCAGAATAAAAGAAAAAGTATATATTAATTGTTTGGTGAGAGTTATGGGGTCTTCAAGGACCCCCAAAGGGCGATTTAACTGGACATTTCCATGAATAAGCCAGGACACAAAAGCAAGGCTGAGACCCAGCCCTCAGGGAGGATACTGATTAGAAAAGGAGACAGTTGGGACATCAGGAATATGACGTCAAGTAATAAGCAGCCAGTAGGTACACAGACCCAAGGAGCTCAGGGGCTCACTGTGTTCCAGACAGATATCAATGAAAGCTATTGATATACAGAGAAACATGCTTGCAAAAATAAATAAATAAGTAAATATATACACACATACACACACACACACACACACACAGTGACAAAAATATCTACAAAGAAACTCAGACTTTATAACACTAAATACTGATGCTAAGTGAAAGAAGCCATACCAATAATCTAAGTACTGTGTGATTCCATTACACGTCATTCCAGAATAGGCATCACCATAGGACAGAAAAGTAATCAGTGATTGTCAGGGGCTAGGAGTCAGGAGAGGGGATGACAAGAAAGGGGAATGAGGAAATTTCAGAGCAATTAAATTTTCTGTACTGTTCTCTGTTTGATGGTGGTGAATGGTTACTCAGTTGTCCATGTTTATCAGAACTCATCGAACTGAACGCTGAAAGGGTAAATTAGACCGTAACTTTTAAAAACACTAATTGTTTAAATAAATAAAAAATTTTAACTTAAAAAAAATGGATATCCACAATTTGAAAGCAAAAAAGCTGTGATTTTTTTTTTTAATACTCAGTCATATTGCCTGTCCCTTGTAATGGCAAAAGGCACATATTTCCAAATACGCACTAGCTTAAAACATGACATCACTCAAGGAAACTTCTTTTTAAAAACGAAGTGAAAGGTGCTGGACTCCCCCACGGAGCCCTGTGCACTAGTTAGAAGCAAGGACTCGATGTTCACATGACCATGTGGATAATCTTTCAGATACAGTGCTGAGTGAAAAAATGAGATTGAGCTCCGCAAAATACCACTTATACGTATTAAAGATACCCACACACAAACCAATAATACATGTCTTACCAGAAACATACCCAAAAAAACAATTTTTAAAACGACAACAGAAGAATCTAAAGAATACATATTAAATATATTAGGATGCTACCTAGCCATTGGGAAGATGGAGAGGGAGAGGAAGGATGATAAAAGGGAACTTAATAAAAAAAAAAAAAAAAAGAAGACAAGGGGTCTTGCAGGGACCAGTGAGGACAGGGTGCCATGAACAGGGACATAAATAATTCACACCCTTTCACTAAACTCTAATTGGAGAAACAACTGCTTAATGATACACACAGCCAACTGAGCTGAATCAAAATTAAGAACTCAAGAAAGCATGTTATAAAATTAGAAATATGAGAACAAAGTCCTTGGGCCAAATTTGTGCCTCTGCTTATTTTTGTATGCAGGCAAAGAATGATCTTTACATTTTTCAGTGGTTGGGGGAAAAGTCAAAAGAAGAAGAATATTTTGTGACACATGAAACTCAAACTTCAGTATCTATAAAGTTTTATTGGCACAAAGCCACCCCCATCATTTACCTTGTGGCCGAGGCTGCTTTCTCTCTACAGCAGTAGAGTAGTTGCAACAGAGGCCAGAGATAGTAAAATATTCACTCTCTGGCCCTTCAGTTTGGATCAACAGTGATCCCTCTCTCACTCAGCTTCATCCCCAGTCCCAGAAACCTAGCTGTACCCTGTTGTCAGGTGGTTCTTCCCCCAGGAACAAGGAGAGCCAGCAGGAAGCCAGAAACTCTCCAGAGCACAGTAACCATGGCTCTCCCACACAACACAGCCAATGACAGTGGCAAAGCTGAGACTCTGCGCCCACAGGATTTCAGAACAAAAAGTCTTTATTCTCTCCACAAAAGCACAGTTTACAAAGAGCTGTGTCACAGCCATTTTCCTAAGCAAGCAAATGGAGAACAATATCTGGCCTCTGCAATTCACACTGGAAAAACCACCTAAACAACCATTAATAAGGACCAACTAAATTAATTATGTTATATTTATATGTACAAACAGCCAATAGAGAGAACAAGTTGGATTTACGTAAGCAGACATAGAAATAATCAAAACAAGTAAGTTGGAAAACATTATCCCATTTTTGTTTAAAAAACATTGTTATACATTCACATGCAAAATGTATTATACACTATGGATGAGCTGAGGACAATACACCAAACTGTTGTGTACTATGTACAGTGGGGGTTGGGATTCAGAGACTTTTATATTTTGCTATGTTATTTTCTTATAATAAAAACTTTTATTATTTTTATAATATAACATTATAATTTTTACAATAAAAACTTTTTTATAATAAAAACTTTTATTTTTATAATAAAAACTTCTATTAAAAGAGTTTTAGATGGGAAAACATCCTTCTTATTGATGAACGTGCAGTTTTTTAATTGAAAAAGGTGGATGTTATCTGTCAGCAAAACCTCTTGAAACCATCTCCCATCTGGAGCCTGTAAATATTACCATGTTAATGGTGCTTAAAAATCATTAACACTTAAATGTAACACATAAAAGCATAAAATACAATTTAAAATTATACAGATGGATATGTTTCAGATCTTAGAATAGAGGAAGAAATTCTAAAGATAAAGTCCAAAGAACAAGGCATAAAGTAAAAGATGGAGAGTTTTTACAATTGAAAAATGTTACAGTTCTTATTAAAAGTTTCTATCATTGCCTGTTACATTCATACTCCCTTTTAAGAGAAAATG